GGAAGCATGGTGTTGAAAAAGCTGAGATTATCCCACACTCTTTGGAATCTCCAAATTCTCTTTTACCCACTTGGCCAATGAAAGAGAAGGGTACTCTCACTTTCACTCTACTGTTTTGGCATGTCTATATGTGTGTGTGTTTCTAGAAATATCTTCTAATAAAGTAATAAGACAATAGACTATGCTCCTGGTTTGGCTCATAGTACTTTTGCTGTCTCTGCTCTGGCACTGCATATAAGGTCATATGTATATATATATGTATGTATGTGTATATATACACACACACACACAAACATATATATGTATATATATATATATATATACACACACATACATACATATATATGTATATATATATACACATATACACACAAACTCACACACACACACACGTATACACACATATTCATATTCTATAACAGGAGCCATTGGTGTATTATTGGCTCCAAAGCTGTCTCTGTGTAGACATGAGGTGGAATAATTTTGTGACAGAACAGCCTTCCTCTCTCTCCAACATGCACCTGATGCTACACAGACCTCACAGTTGCCCACAAATATATTTTCTGCACAACTCCAGGGAACAAAGAGAAGCAGCAGTGATGAGCTGCAACAGCCCCATGCAGTAAAGCCAACCCTTACCTCTCTACTTACATAAAAAGAACACTTAAGCAAGTTAAATACGGTCATGTGTGATTTTTAAAAAAGCAAATATCCAGTATATACCATGAATCGTTTGAACTCTGGGTTTAATACCAAGAGATAAGGACTTCTTTGAAGCCCTGCCCCTATTTGCCCAGCTTATGTGTACATCCTTGGTCTGGGAAAAGTGTTATGGACAACCCAGCTGGATTCTCTTGTTACTATTAAAGTTTATCTTGGCCTCGACCGGTCTCTGTTTGCATTGGCAGAGGGGTCAGCAGTCTGCAGGGTTCTTTCACTTCCCAAAACTTTTATCTCTCTTTCCATCCCCTGAAGACAGATTATGTTGAGAACAATCAAAATGGCTTTTAAAAAAATCAGTGCCTAGGAACAGCTGTTTTTCCAAGGGCGCGTCTTTAAAAGTAAGTGCTTTTTTGAAAACATTGCTAAGTATGCAAAATACTCTGGAAAAATTGTCAAATTCACCTTCATAGGATGTGAGAATATTTGCCAATATTCTTATTTTACAAAGAGGAGCTGAAACCAAAATAATAACACCAAATTGACAATTTTTCCCAAATTACCAATAAAGTTCAGAACACATCTGTATTTCCATCCTGGAGTGCCCTAAAAACAAACTAAATAATCCTGTACCGTGATTATGAAATCATGCTGGGGAGGAGGGGAATTGAAAGAACTTTTCTGGCTCCTGGGAAGCACTTACTCGATCTGCATTTACCCTTATAACTCACTTAATTTTAACTCCCACTTTATTTCCAAATATAAAGAGTTTCATTGTTTCATTTCCAGATATAGTGGCTTCTGGTCACAGACAGGAATATAGGATCTTATACTTTTACTTCTGTAGATCTTTCTGACTTTGCACTATGTTCTTAGCGCAAGTTAAGGTACAAAGAAACAGATTCAGAAAATGGCAGTGAGGATGCTCAGGGCATCAAAAAGTTATGAACAGAGATTGCAGGAATTTGGCGTGTTTTGCCTTGAGAAGACTAGGCAGGAGACCTGATAGCACTCTCCAAGAACCTGAAAGGAAATTACATCAAAGAAAGCCATGGCTTATTCTGTATCATCCCAGAAAGTAGGACCTGGAATAATAGATCTGTGCTCCTGGAGACATCCATCTGGGATGTTTTAATTGGGATTCCTGGGCAGTGCAGAATTGGACTTGAACTCTAAATGGCCCTACACAGTTTTATGGCTTTCATGTATTAACACCCACAGTTACTACAACAATGGATGCCCATTGCCCCCAGTGGGCTAGACTCTGCGCTTCCAGACTGGGACTGCAGAGCCACCTCCGTGTCCACAGATGAACTGCACATCAGCGTGTCTTCTTTGAACCCGAAGGACTATTCTATATATTATTCTCAGAACATTATTCTGCAAAGATGAATCATGTTAAGCAGATTCAGATCTAGGTGAACTTAGTGCTCAGTGAGATATTATACAGCGTGACACCCCCACCTTTTCAAGGGAAGCCATTCACTTCTCTTGCTTATTTTCAATAGATGGAAAATCATCACATGTATGTATTTATTTATTTAGATTTCAAATTTAGACACCGCCCATCTCACGAGGCAGTGACTCTGGGTGGTTTACAAGATTATTTGAACCTTTTGCTTTAGTAAATAGTTGCTTTTAAACAGCAAAGCTGGGTATAAATAAGGGTCTAGCAGTTGCATTTCTTTCATGTATAAGAATTCAAAGCCAATCTTCAGCAACGCACAATAAGATCTTCAAAGATCTGTAGGAGCAGCTGTCAAGCAAATTAGATGATATTGGATTCAATGGACCATGTGGTTGGATACAGTAATTTTGTGGAATCATATGCCAGGAAAGAACAGCTGTGCAATTTCTCTCCCTTGCTCTTGATGGTAGACAGTGAGCAGACATTGCAAAAACATGTTTCTGAAAAAGATTATTTCTAGATCTGGTAAAACGGCAAAAAAGAGCAACCCAAAATGATTAGAAGGTTGATTAGCTTCCCTGTGAGGCAAGGATGTAGATTTTAGGAGCTCTTTAGTTTAGACAACAAGGAAGAACAACGTGCACAATGTTATTTAGACAGATGCATGCAAAATGATGCAAGGTGTGAAGTAAATGGATGGGATATTTTTTTTTCTTTTTCTTGTAATGCTAGAATCCAGACATCAAATAACAACATTCCAAAGAGGCAATAGGAAATGCTAATTCATACAGCTCATAGACTTGAACACTGAAAGGGGATTAGACAAACTCAAAGAGGAAGAAGAAGAGGAGGAGGGCACAACCAAAAGCTACTCATCATGATGGTTGTATGTTATTTCCATGCTTCTGTATATGAATTGCCAGGGAGGAACAGCAGGAGAGAGCCTTGCCCCTCACCCCCCACCCCACCCCCAATCCTGCCTAGGTTCTTCTCACAGGCATTTGGTTGGCTGTATGGGAAACAGAATACTTGATTAGGTGGACCTTTGGCCTAAACCAACTGCAGGATTCCTTTTAAGTTCTCACGTCTTTTTCAACGGGGGCATGCACAAAACTTTTGTATGCAAATACCTTGGCTCAAGAATACTGCAGTCTGTCTTTTAAAAAATGCCTCCACCTCAAGAAGTTTCAGCAAAGTTTAGATTCAGCACCTGCAAGGCCAGCCCTGACCACAAACAAATCTCCCTCATTGGCTTTACCTTCCAAGAGATTATGCTGATAAGAAGTTGAATTTCAAGGGCTGGTTTTATTTTTAAACATGTGGTTTGATTTGGCACGTGTGCACACATATATAATGAATAGGTTCAGCTGTTTTGTATACCTAATGGCTGCAGTGGGGGCCTATCAAGAAATTTCTACATAGGGAATTCTGATTTACAACCTAGGAACGGAGCCAGACCAGATGGTCTTTCTTTTCCCTAGCTTAGGAGTTCATTGCTAACATGCCATCTTAAAACCCGCTCAGATTGTTTTCCTTCTGCCCATTTGCTCATGACTCCATTCCCCAGATTCATCAGCTTGCTGTACCCAGATTGCATATGATGGGATTCCAGATGCTGAGAGCAAAGGGGACCAAGGAAGCGGTGTTGCCATCACCTTAATGAAGTGCTTAAAAGATAGGGGAGGGAGTTAGAAAGACGATCCATCTTACCTTTTCAGCTCCCCCTGCTGTTTTAAAGTGCTACAAGAGAGCCATGATTTAGCTTAAACAGAGTTGGATTGGAGGCCTCCAAATAAATCAGAGACTACAACCATGCCCAGCCTGTATGCTTTTTCAGAAGCTTCTGACAGGTTGATGTTGGAAGCAGAACGTTGTGCTGGATGGAGCCCCCTTGGTCTGATCCAGCAAGATGTTTCTTACAATTTATAAGGTCTGGCCTTCAACACCACTGAAATCTCTAAAGTGCTTTGTGGGGCACACCACCCACCCAAACTTGGGCTCAGAAAAAAAGAAAACCAAAATATGCACTTAATTGACTGTGTGGTTAAAAGGGAATTACTTGGCTCATATCAAAAGAAAATTGACTCTGATGTTATGTTTTTGTGCAGGTCACCTATCAAGTTGCTTGCTGGCAGCAACCGATGGACAGGGGAGAGGGGGAAGCAAGGGGGGTAGTCCCCTCCACAGAAGGATGTGGAAGCCATGGATTGAACCATAACAACACAGTTCCACTTACTTGAATATAAAAGCACCAGCCCCTTGATTGCCAGCCAGAAAGTTAAAGAAATATTGCCTGTTTTTCATATTCTCCTGCTTTTGCCTCCACCTGATCCAGGGTTTGTGTGTCATGGCATCCAGAACAGGGACGCTTTGCTAGGTTAGATCAAGATGGAGCCTCATCAGTAAGAAGGAAAGACTTCTGGGATGGTGGGGGATTCATGTGAAACTGCAGCAGGAATGACAGAGGAGCCTTAACTTCTGTGTCATACCTAACTGTATCATAATCGAATCCAAACTGTATCATACCTAAATCTAACATGCAATCAAAAGCAATATTTTCAAACTGATCGTGTTATTTTAAGTAATCAAAGCACCCACCATATCAAATTCCAACTGGAAATTCAATCTGCTGCCAGATATCAACATCAAATTCCAAATCCAAATTTGAATTCAAATTCCAAATGTGAATATTTTCATAACAGCACTTCACTTAAGGGTTTTCAACATAGACAACAAAAATTCTACAAGTTTAGGTTACAGAAATAATGAAAGGAGAAATGCACGTGTAGTTTCTATCTGTATCAGAAATCAACAGCATTCTTCATCTACAGTTTTGCAGGGAAGGCCAAATATGAAGTTTGAACAATTACTTCTTATGGTAGATTGTGGTTTTGATGCAGTTATCGGAGCATCAACAAACAGCAAATAATACCTGTCATTCCACGGAGGCCAGGTAGCCCACGTTGGCCAATGTCTCCTTGGTCCCCCTTTGGCCCTCGTTGTCCCATGATTCCCCTTTCACCAGGGAACCCTACATTCGGAAGATGAAAAAAACAAGCAAAACAAGTCTCAAACATAGGTAGAGTTTGTTTTTTAAAAAATGGATGCACATTGCTTTACAAAGAATAATAAATATTAGCAAGCTAGCCTGCGTTCCATCTAGCTCTTCTAATTGTTGAACTACTTTTTTTTTTTAATCCGTTTAATCATGCCCAATTCTCAGAGACTTTTTCAGAAGTGGTTTGCCATTGTCTCCTTCCTACGGCTGAGAGAAAGTGACTAGACTTCACTAAATAGGCTTGATTAGTAATTACAGTGCTCACTAACCATGTCTCTGTAGGGTTGTCACAGGGAACAATGATAAATATGTGGCTGCTTGCTTTGCATGGCTTGGTTGTCCATTTCATTCCATGGTTGTCTTGTAAGCTTTCACATCCCAGTACACCTAAACTTCCAAAAGATAACACACATCTACCCAGAACTAGATCCCATTCAGTTCCAAGTATATTATGTCCTCCATACCACTTAACATCAATATGAAACCACTGGGAGCATCATTAGGGCATGGAATCTCCAGGACACTGAAGACCTTCAGCTCTGAACTGGAGGGACTATTCTGTTCTGGACAACTGCTTGGATACAGAGGTGGATTGTATGAGGGCTAACAGAATGAAACCAAAGATTCTGTGGATGAGTGATTCCAACGTTTAGGATGAATTACATTTCCTATGATTGGGAATGTACTTTGGCCCTTTATCATCTTTGCAAAAACAGATAGTGCTCATTACCTTCTTCAGTTGGTATAATAACAGCTACATTCTTTTCTGAATAGAGATAACTTTATGATAAATGAATTACTGATGTTGATGCTGTGTTGATTGAATATTAGAACTGCCAATCAAAGCATGCTTACACAGGACATCTCCTTCCAGATTATATTGCAGAGACAGAAGGGAACTGAGGAGAAAGGATTCAAGAAGGAAAGGGTGGAAGGAGAGGTCTGAGGGAAGCTTGGAGCCCCAGCCCTAGGAAAACCTACATCTCAAAAATAGTTTTTTTCTACCTTTATCCTCAAGATCCCACAACTTCCAGAATTCCTAGATTATGGGATTTGACATCCAGCACATCTCACAGGCCCCAGGTATTCAAGGACATCTCAGAAGTTTATCTCAAAAACTCCTGGACACTGCCTCTCAATAGAAAGCCACAATATTGAAGTTTCTCAGTAAACAAATTCTTGATTGACTCCATCCCACCAACCCCTCTGAATTCTTTGCAGAGCATGTGGAAAATTCTGTATGTTGGCTAGGAAGAGGATGCCACAGGAGAAGGCTTGGTATAGTAGTTCAAGAAATGAGATTAAGCATGGTTCACTGACTGGTATTTTCTTGCTACAGATACAGAGTATGAAGAGTTTCCAATTAAAAGGCACATCCAATTAAATATAAGAAAAAACTTTCTAACAGTGTGAGTCGTGGAGTGGAACCAATTACCCAGACATGTCATGGGCTCCTCTTCATTTTCTGAGACCCTTTAATTTGGATTCCTCTTCTAAGCAGGGGGTTATCTCAATAGTCTAAATAGCCCCTTCCAATTTGAAGTTTCTAACACTGAGTACATTGCAAAAATGTAAGTGTGAGGACAAGTATAAGAAAGCCAAAATGGATAACCAGCTTAGCACTGCTTGCCATTGCTAACCATCAAGAATAATCAAGGACCACCTTCAGAGAGACACATCATTAGTTTTACTGATCAAGAGAGAGTATTTGGGGAGACAGTAAAACATGGGCAACCCACTTGGTTGCATTAGAGTTGAGAAATAATTAGGGGAGAAAATTGGATGTTTAGAGGAGTTTGACAGTTGTTAAAAGCTAGGTTCCAAGGATCCAGGCCTGTAACAAGAAATGAGAATCAGGGGAAATAGGAACAGAGAGAGAGACAGACAGACAGACAGAGACAGAGAGAGATTAAGTGGAGATAGCCTTGCTACAGCCAGGGACATCCAGAATGATGGTCATTGGCTTCAAAATGGCAGGCACAATCAGGCAATCAAAGCCCCACCCTATTGCACACATTGCCATGCACATAAAAAAGGGCTGTGTCTTCAGTTGCCTGACTACAGCACCTATTTTGAAGCCAGAGGCCCTTGCCGTAGATGAAAGGGTTAAAACAGCTTGGAGACCAAAGGGGAGTTAGAATTAGCAAGTCTGGATGGGGGGGGCTTCATTAAGGAGTGGAAACAATGAAACTGAAAAGTTAAGGAAAGTTATATAAGTGGAACTAAATGCAAGAGAACTAGATGCCCAAGAGGAGGAAGGAGCAGAAGAGAAATAGTTTAGCCTGGAGTCATGGCTAGGAGAAAGGAAAAGAAGAGAAGTACCTCAAGGCAAGTAGCAATCTAAGGGAATAAGAGATCACACTGGATAGCCTTTCTCTCTGTGAAACAAGGGAGAAAGAAAGACTACTTATGAGTAAGCGAACAATAGAAGGGAGACAGCACAAGGCTTTTTTCCTTGCAGCACAGGACTCTGCCCAGCCAGGTTCTGCTCTCTGGAAGGGGCACTTTCCGGTGTGAAGCAATAAGGAGGCGCAGGGGGCATCACTCAGCCAACAGAAGAATCTGACAGCTTCCACAAGGAGGGGATCACTAAGTGGATCCACTGGGGAAAGGATCAAGACTTGCAAGAGTCAAAAGGAGCAGTGAGTAAGAGAGGAACAGACTGATCAGGTGGATGGAAGAGATCCAAACTTAGTGTAGGCAGAGGAGAGTAAGGAAATTGCTACACACTTGCTATACTACATACTTGGGGCATTTTCCAAGGGAGGGATGGTGGTATATTTCATATGCATTGGGCCTGTAGTATGTACTGTGCCAAGGAGATTGTTCAGTCAGCAGATGAGGAGAAAGGGAGGATGGACTACTAGGCTTACAGCAAATTTCTCTGTGGGGCAAAGGATATAGATCCAACTAGTCCATAGTTTAGTGCTGTTTAAAGTTATTTTTGTACCTGTGTGATACTGTTGACCATTTATATACTGTATGGTTGTTGTTTCTTTAATGCTACTAGTAACAGTTTTAGCTGTTCAAATGGAGAGGTTTCTGTGAGTGGAAATCAGCTTCTTAGAGCAGTTTTCTCAACCTCAGCAACTTCCCCAGCCAGCATGCTGGCTGGGGAATTCTGGGAGGTGAAGTCCACACATAGTGGCTGAGGAATTCTGGGAGTTGAAGTCCACACATAGTGGCTGAGGAATTCTGGGAGTTGAAGCCCACACATCTTAAAGTTGCCAAGGTTGGGAAATGCTGCCTTAGAGTCTCCTCTTGTACAGTCGTTGAAAACGTGGTGCCAGGCTTTGTTTAAAGGGATTCCCAAGACAGCTGGAGAAATCCTCCTTAGGAATCTCAGGGAAGAGGGTTTCTTAAACCCAGGACAGCCTCTGCTTTTAAACAGTGGCTGCACATGGCCAAAGGGCTGCTCTCTTACATCTCAAGACAATTGCCCACAGCATCTCTCATAACTCTGCTGGGGCAGAAATTCAAGCCAATTGTGAGTAGTTAATAATGGCCTGGTGCTTCAGCCAGGAGCTTTAGGAGTGTACATAACATAAGCTTCCACTTAACTAGCAAATCATGTTTTCCTTCAGGGCCTTAATTTAATTTCCCTTTACAAACAGTGGTTTTGAAAGAGGGGGGAAATGGTTCTTGAAACCTTAAGAGGTTCACTCAGAACCCACAAAATGAACCCCACCCTCCTAACCCCACCCCTTCTTCAAGCACCAAACATCTCTCTTACACTTCAGTTGCAGTAACAGGGAAGTATCTTAGAGTTAGTTGCCAATGATTCAGTGCCAATATTAATTGAGGTTGATCCATAAATTCAATAATAATCTTTTAAATGTCTTTTGTTTGCATGCAATTTCTCTTCAAGTTTTTATTTTAACAATCAAATGAAAGCAGGAAGCAGAGAGAAAGATTTGCTTAAAGAACAGATGTGTATGATACATGAGAAATGTAATAGCAGAATTAAAAAAAGGCTCAAATCTTAATGCCACCTGTTTTGCCCAGGAAACAGCTTCTTAATCAGATCAGACTGTCTGTTGAACCCTGTGATGTCTATCTGGAATAACAGCAGGTCTCCAGGATCTTCAAGTCATCAAGTGTGGGATTGGCTAGCCCCTTAGAGGTCTGGTGTTGCTGCCCTGAACCATCGGCCTCCTGGACTTTTTCCTTCATCTTTTGTAACTGTGGATATAGGCTTTTAATTGTATTTTTATTTT